GGGTGGGGGGAGGGGAGGGGACGTTTCATTTCGCGGGCAGGGTCCCGCTACAAAGTCTACTAGACCTACCAGGGAGCACCGCAGTGATGGCTTTCCCACAGCAAATAGTTTTTAAATCGTTCCTAGCTTTTCATCTTTTGGGGGCGTACGACTGTTGTATGGCTTTAAATTTGCCTTTTATGTATGCCCCTTTTCTCATGCCTGGCGCTGTTGCTGCTGCTGCTGCTGCTGTTGCTGTCGTCCCCACCTGCCCCTAGTCCCCCCGCGAGGAGGAGGAGGCGGAGGTGGAGGTGGAGCTGCTGCCGCTGCTGTCCTTCACCTTCACGGGCCGCATGGGTCCGGAGGCCCGGGGGCTGCTCAACGTGCTGGTGGCGCTGGTGATGGCGGGGCAGGTGGGCGCACCGCACCACACCACACCGGCGGGGTGTCAGGGGCGGGGGGCAATGAGGGACGGGGAAGGGGGGGGGTCTGCGGGTGCGAGGGGGGGAAGGACGGGACGGGAAGGAGGGGCGCTCCACTCGTGCGAGGAGCGGCCGACGAGGTTCAGTTCCGTGTGGTTAGTGGTGGTGGCGGTGGTGGTGGTGGTGGCGGTGGTGGTGGCGGTGGCGGTGGTGGCGGTGGTGGTGGCGGTGGTGGTGGTGGCGGTGGTGGTGGTGGTTAGTGGTGGTGGTGGTGGTGGTGGAGGTGGTGGTGGCGGTGGTGGTGGTGGAGGTGGTGGTGGCGGTGGTGGTGGTGGCGGTGGTGGTGGTGGTTAGTGGTGGTGGTGGTGGTGGAGGTGGTGGTGGCGGTGGTGGTGGTGGTTAGTGGTGGTGGTGGTGGTGGTGGTGGCGGTGGTGGTGGTGGTTAGTGGTGGTGGTGGTGGTGGTGGAGGTGGTGGTGGCGGTGGTGGTGGTGGTTAGTGGTGGTGGTGGTGGTGGTGGTGTATGTTGCCGGGGGTCACGCAGCTGCCCGTCCTGCCTTGGTCCCCGAGCCGGTGTGCGTCACAAGGGGGCTGCACAGGCGGCAGCG